AGAAAAACGAGTATATTTATAGAAGGACAATTGTAAGCTAGATTTTATGTAAAAATAAATAATTGCTCCTCCCGCATATAAGCCATTCTTTTTCTTTTTTCCACCCCTCAAATTTCCATGCAAAAATGATGACCATTTTTGGAGGAGGGCATTTTATTGGGTGAATGTCCTATGACTGTTGTGGTCATTTTACATAAAAATTTTCTTTATTTTAATCTTAATTTCAAAAAATTATTTAGTTAGATTAATTTTAATTTTAATCTTTACTACCAAAAAATAAAATCTTAAAGAATTCGAGTGCCCTTTTTATTTTTTTCATTTTTTCCCTTCAATATTCCCCTCAATTCTTTATTATTATTTTGATTGTCCACTTTATACATTTAACTCATAATTAAATTATTTTATTTTTATCCATATTTCCACCATTAAAAAAATTTAAAGAAAAATTTAAAAAAATTTCCCCAAGAAAAAATCTTGAGGAAATCTTCTTCTAAATTATTTTAGATCTCTCCCATAGATAAATTATATAGCTCATTATTAATCGACACTTAAGTTTATTGAGTTTGAAACAATGGAGAATAATTCTTAAAATTATCCATTAATATACCCCCTCATGGGAACTACTATTCTTATTATTATTTTATTCTCAATAAAGGTCAATAATGTAGAAAAAAAAACAATGGATAAACTAGAAAATAATTGGCAATTATTCGTTAATTTAGTTTAATTTTTCCATTATTTTTTACACTTATTTTTAGGAAAATTATCTTTAAGTATCTCCATTCTAAAAGCGAAAAAATTTTTAAAAATCAAATCCAAATAAATTATAGTTATTTTTTTATTTCTTCATAGTCTACGGCATGTATGTATTAACGGACTAGGGATCAGGGGTGGGAATGGTTACCCGATACCCTATACCCTGTCTTTTTTCGATCTGGAACCCGAACCGAAGAAAATTTCTTCTCAAAAACCCGATCCGAAATCCAACCCGACTTTTTTTCTCATTCTTAGCAGTGATGGGATATCCATGCTATGGATCCTGCCGTCTTGATTTTCGTTTCCTAAAAATTGGGAATTTATTTTTTATGTCAGTAGGATCCCTTGCAGAGGCTTCGTTACTAATAAGGAAAGAAAATAAATTTTCTTCACGCTTCTAATATTTTTTCAAAAAATTCCTCAGTTTTTTTCAATACAAAAATAATTTTTATTTTTTTTCAATTTTCCAAATAGGCAATAACGTAAAATTAAATTTTGTGTGTTTTGTTGTGATAAATTAGTTTTATTCGTCTTATTCATCTTTTAATAATATTCTTTTTTTTTATTCGTCCTTCAAAATAAATAAAAAATTTTTTAAAATAATTTTTTTGCAATTTTTAATAAACTTTGTATGTTCATTCTTTAAATTTATTTTTATTTTATTTATTTTCTCAAAGACCAAAAACTTTTTTTAATTCGACAACCGCAGCCTTGCTATATAACCTTGAATTTTGTTTATTTCTTTTTTAATTTATTTAAATAAATTAATTAATTAAAAGCCATTAGCTATTTTTATTGCTAATTAAGGCTAATCCTTTCCAGTTATTATTTGATTATTTATATTTGCTCATGTTGAACTGAGAGGTGGAATTTTAGTTTTGTAAAGCAAAAATCAGTGGTGGGATGGTTGAACGGTTAACTATCAGAATCAAGTTCCTCCCATCTTTTTCTAAAGCATCTGATCCCTACAGAAAATAGCAAAAGCTTTGATATGTATGTCTTGATCCCGAGAGCTCTTCGATCCTAGGTGTTAACCCGTTCAATCATCATACCACCGACTGATCGTTTTTCATTTTTTGCTTTAATTGTTAGACTAGGAGGACACCTCGATAGCTTTATTCTATTTATGCCTGTCCCACCAGAGCTTGCTTCCATTTTCAGTTATTTATTATTAAAATACCTATCCATATTAAAAAGCCTACCTTTCCCTTTTTCAATTTTTAAAATCCAAGGCTAGACAAATAAAAACGAAACTTTAAAAGAAACAAAAAAATTTGTGGGGGTTATTTTCACAGTTTTTTTCTGTTTTGTATTTATTGCCGTCGATCGACGTTCATTCATTCACTCCAACCGCGATCACCACCAACAACATTCCAAACAAATACAAAAGTCTTCTTTACCCAACTTTTATTCTCTTCATTTCTTCAATTTCCTGCTCATTCTCTCTCTCCATTTTATTTTTACAAATTTATTTTTAATTTCTTATTGCGCGTTTCAACGTTTTTATTTAGGGCGTAAAATTTGAAGAGAAAAAGCGTTGCATTAAACTGCTAATTTTTAAAAAAATATTTTTATAATTGTTTTAGGAAGAAGACTTTGATGTTTGAAATTTTTGAATTAAAATTTTTTATTTAAAAAATTGTAGAATTTTTGGTTCATATCGAGGATAGGAATATGATGGATAGGAAGGGGGTTACCTGAAATCAGGACTTTTTTAGACTAGAACCTGATCCTATGAAAATTTTGAAAAACTCGACCCGACTTTCTTCTCATCCTCGTTTATTGTTTAATTTTTCAAATTTCTCAGAAAAAATATTTTTTATCATAAAAAAATTAAATTATTAATTTCAAAAAATATGCAAAATTCATCATTACTTACTCAACTTTTTTGTTTTATTTTATTTACATCACTTATTAGAAATCAAGGTAAATAAAATATTTTATATAATACTTTCCGTAAAATAATTAATTCTGTTGCATTTTCCGTAAAACAAAAACACAAAAACACAAAAAAATACAAGAAAATACAAGAAAATAAATCAGAATTTAAGAAACACAAAAATACAGAATAATCAGAATTTAAGAAACACAAAAATACAGAATAATCAGAATTTAAGAAACACAAAAATACAGAATAATCAGAATTTAAGAAACACAAAAATACAGAATAATCAGAATTTAAGAAACACAAAAATACAGAATAATCAGAATTTAAGAAACACAAAAATACAGAATAATCAGAATTTAAGAAACACAAAAATACAGAATAATCAGAATTTAAGAAACACAAAAATACAGAATAATCAGAATTTAAGAAACACAAAAATACAGAATAATCAGAATTTAAGAAACACAAAAATACAGAATAATCAGAATTTAAGAAACACAAAAATACAGAATAATCAGAATATTTACAACTGAGAAAACACAAAAAATCAGAAATACATTAAATTAAGTAGGAATGTAATAGAAGATTAATAAGTACAAAAATACAAAGATGACCCAATTTTTAAAGAAAATTACCTAATTTTTCTTTTTTTGGTTCACGTAATTTTATAAGATTATTTATGCTTGTTAACTAATAATCCTTTAAAAAAATTTTTTTAATTAAATTCAAGTCAATGCCCAACCCCCACAACCCCCACAACAACAACAATCAGTTAATAAGCAATTTACAATAAATACATATTCACCAGATTTTGGTGTTTATATTGGACCAATAATTAATTCTGACAGCCATAAAAACAATAATTTTATGGGACATGTTTTTGCTATAAATGAATCTGCCATTCAATTAGTTAATTTTACTTTTGATGGAAATATTCCTGGTAACTTTTAAATAATTTTTTTTTAATTTTTTGGGAATTTTTTTTTCCAATAAAATTGGGAGAATTTTTAATAAATAAAAAAATTTTGTTTTAATTTTTTGGAAATTTTTTGGAAAATTTTTTAGGCATTTTTGAGAATTTTTTAAAAATATTTTTAATTCTCTTGAAAAATTTTTAGATTTTTTTGGGATTTTTCTGTTAATTTTCGGTGTTTATTCTCCTTATAATTTTATTTTTATTAATTAAAATTATTTTTTAAATTTAATTTACCGTCTTTGTCAATTTTTATTATATCCCTTCCCAATTTTTTTTATTATTTTTTTTTCTGCGCGTGCCCTATATTTATTTTCTTTTGTTATTTTGTAATTACAAAAGGAGGGAAATTTTGTAGAAAATATTAGGTTTAATTGTTTGTTCTGAAAATTAAATGAACAGAAAAATACAAAAAAGAAAATACAACTTTTCTTTTACTATTGTTTATTAAATTAAAAATACAAAAAAAACACAAAAGAAAAAAATAATTAGTAAACAAAATTATTAGTTCCGGAAACATTTTCCGGAAAATACATATTACTTTAAAATACAATTTGTAAAATACATATGTATTTTCCGGAAAATACTTCTACAAAAATACAATATTTAAAAATACATTTTTCCGGAAAATATTACTACGAAAATACATTATTTAAAAATACATGTTTCCGGAAATTGTTTTCCGGAAAATACATTATTTAAAAATACATCCTTTCCGGAAATTGTTTTCCGGAAAATACAATTTAAAATACATATTTTCCGGAAAATATTTTCTACTCTATTTCTTCAATAAAACAAAGTAGACAATAAATACATAGAGACCGGTCGGAAGCGTCGGTAAGTAATTCTCGACTAAATTTCGAAAAAAATCTAATCGAGTTGGACTCTTATAATTTCTATCAAATAAATCCTTAAAAGACCCAAAAATACTTAAAATTAATTGTTTAAACGGATTTTAATCTTTAAATACTCTATGCCATTTTCTATTTTTTTAATTGATAGACATTCGTCAATGGCTATTGAATTTTATTTTTTATTTTTTTTCTTTGTAAAATGCCGTCAAAAAAGAAAAAAGATGCGCAAATCCCATCCATTTTCTTTTTATCTATTTTTTTTCCTTTTTTTAATTTAATAGAGGACTAGAAGTGTATAATTGAGGTTTAAATGGTTGAATTGAGAAAAAAGAAATTTAAAAAAAAGGGAAAATCCGATAAAAAGAAAATTTTCCAGATTTTTTAAAAATTCTAAAAAATTAATTAAAAATAGCCTAAAATATCTAAAATTAATTTTAAAATATTAGAAAAAAAATTTAAGACACTTTCTTTTGGCTTGATCGCAGTCAAGTACCCACACGTGATGGTATAAGGCTTTCAACTTTTGAATATGGGTATTTAATTAAATAAATATTTTTTGTAAAACATTTTTCAAAGTCTTTCACCTCTGGGAATTTTAAATCCAAATTCTCCAGTTCTACTAATTTTGCCTGAATACGAACTTGAAGATGAACAGCAAGAGGAATTAATTGAGCGTATAGAACAATTAAGAATTGGGCAATTTAAAAGTTTAAGTCTTTTCTCTTTGAATGGAGATGTGGCTATTGGAAGTGTGGTAGGTTGTTTTTTAGGAAAAAATTTTTAAAAATTCTGAAATCTTTCTGAAAAATTCTGTAATTTTCTGGGAAATTTAAAGACTTAAAGTGTACTTGATTAAAACTCCTATAACTTTAGATTAAATCAAGCTATAATTATAAAATTTATATCTTTGGATAGAGCACATTTTAAGCTATAAAAATGCCAAAAATTAAATCTTTAGCTTAAATAAACGAAAAGTTATGAATTTTTAAGTAAACCATAATTTTCTTAATTTCTCTTAAAACTTGAATAATTTTCAGAAAATACCAGAAAATTTAATTGTACCAAAAACACAATTAATACAAGACGAATTGAAAGGAACACGTTATGATGTTCAATCTGGACCTATACAAATATTGGATACTAAAACAATTAAAATATTTGGATTTATATTTCAAGGAGACAAAGCGCCAGGTGATTTGGTGTATTTTTTTGAAATTCTGAAAAAATTTCTAAAATAATTCTGGAAAATTTTTTGGAAGCTTATTAATCTTTGTTAAAGTTATTAAAACATTTCTGAAAAAAAAAATCTGAAAATTTTTTTGAATCTTTTTAATTTTTACAAAATTTAACTGATACCTATTAAACAAATAGACAAAGTTAGAGAGCACAGAGCAAGTTACTCTTCTCTTGTCAATCACTTGACTTTGAGGCATATGTTAATTAGGTCTGTTTGAGTCTTGACTTTATAAACATAGTGGATTTACTGGCTTGTATTTTCTTAATTCTATGAGCACAATAAAAATTTTTAAATTTAGACGGATATTTCTATGTTGGCCGCGGTCTAAACATAACAAAAGAATCCGGGGTTAAAGCAGCAATTCGAGGGAGAGATACTTTTGACTCGTAAAAAATTTTTCAAAAAATTTTAAAATTAAGAACATTTTCAGAATAACCCCAATAAATGAGAGATATACTGGAGGGAAAGACATTTATGTTGAATTGCCTGATGGGTATGATGTTCAACATATTGACTGGATTTCTGTGGGGGATTTAATTTTATTTTTAAACTACTTTTATAAATTTTGAAGGTTTATTGTTTACATTTTGAAGTAGATTATGGACATGTATTTATTAGAAATATATCTCCTATGATACCCCCACATGTTCAAATACCTATGAGGGTGAGTTGAAGATCTGGAATTTTTGTTTTGAATTTTTTGCTTCATCTTTTAAATTTTGCTTCACTTTTTTCTATTTTTGCTTCACTTTTTATTATTTTTGCTTCATTCCCTGTTTCATTTTTTTAAATTCTGCTTCATCCTCTGAATTCTGCTTCAGTTTCCGAATTCTCATTCACTTCCTAATATTCTTGCTTAATTTTCGGAATATGCTTCACTTTTTAAAATTTTGCTTCATTTTCTAATCTTTCTGCTTCACATTTTCAATTCTGCTTCATTTTCTGAATTCTGTTTTAAATATATTCTGACTCATGCTTCGCTTTTTAAAATTTTGCTTCACTTTTCTGAAATCTGCTTCATTTTTGAACTCTGCTTCACTTTTTCAATTCTGCTTCATTTTCTTTAATTTTTCTGCTTCACTTTTAATATTTCCCTTTAATTTATCCAGGCCGACGACATTTTTAAAGACAACAAGCAACTTACTTGGCATGTTAGTAACCTCCTTGGGACAGATTCTCAGCTTAACTTTACCTTTCAATTAGGCCCTCCTGGAGGAATGAAAGGCCATAAAGTAGATAATTATTTTAATTTTAATAAAATTTTAATTTCTAGTCGATGAGACACGTACCTAAACCTCCCCCTTATGTTTGGTATGTTAATGGATATTTGGCTGATCTTTACCTAAAAAGAGGAATTACTTATACATTTATGTAAATTAAATTAATTTAATTTTTAAACAAAAAAAATTTTAAATTTATTTTTAGAGTTGAAGGTGGTCAAAATTCATCAGTACCTCAGCTTTACAATCCTCTTTATTTAACTGATAGTATTTATGGAGGCTACTCAAAATTGAGCAATTCAGAAAAGAAAGTAAATTAATTTTGTAGTTTTATGAATTTTAATTAATTTTACATTTATTCTGATTACAATTCTAAATTACAATTATTAATTACAATTACGAAAATAATTAAACTTGACGTGTCTATTAATTGTAAAATTACAATTGTAATTACAACAGGCGTCAAGTTTTATTATTATTTTTTGACTAAATTCTGATTAAAATTCTGATTTTCATTTTTCTGATTAAATTATGAATTCTGAATTTATTTTTTCTTTTAAGCATGCAGTAAAATATACACAAGAAGAGGCTGGTCGCCTCTGCCGGTGGATAGAAGAGGAACCTTTTGGAGAGCTTTCAGCAGATAAATATTCCTCTTTTGTTGATTTTAGAGAAACTTTGAGGTAAGCATTTACCTGATTCTTTAAATTTTTCTTTGAATATTTTCCATTATCTTCTTCATTTTTTAAAGGCTAGAATGTGACGAATCAGATGAACCTGGCATTTTAACATTCACGCCTAGTAAAGATACTCCCAATATTTTATATTATGCGGTATGTTAAAGCTTATATTTTTAAAAATATCCAACCCCTTTTCAGAGTTATTCAAATTATCAAATGGGTGGAAGAATACAAGTTGTAGATGAATTCCCTGCTGATCTCAAATATATTGTTGTTGAGGTAAATTGTATTTTTATTTAATTTTATCGGGGTTTAATAACGTTTTAATAAACCTTTTACAAATTGTAAAAAAGGTTGGAATTAATTTGTATAAAATTTACAAATTGTGAAATAAGCAATAAACTTATTACAAATTGTAAAAAAGGTTGTAATTAATTTGTAAAAAATTTACAAATTGTAATAAGTTTGTAAAAAGTTGTAAAAAGTTTTACAAATTGTAAAATAAAGCTTTAATAAAGTTTTAATAAATTTACAATTTGGAGTCAAATTATAAGAAATTTTTACAATTTGTAATTAAGTTTTAGTTTAAATTAAAAACTTATTTAAATATAGCCATATCGTTACGACGCAAAACGGCATCAAGAAAGGATGGTACTGGCTAGGGAAAGTAATGGAAATGAGAGAAATACTGTAAAAATTCTAACTTGTGGCATTTTATTTATTTTAACTTTTTTATTTTTGTAAAATTTATTTAAAAATTTTTTTATTTATTCTTTAAAATCATGTAAAAATAAATAAATACTAGTAAATGAAGTTGAGTGAAAATCTCCTTTTTATTAATCCTTTTTTATTGCCTAAAAAATAATTTTTGAACTCCTGACATGTCCCTTTACTATTCAAATTTGTTAGTTTGCAACGTTCACCGCGTTCATTTTCATTAACCCTATTCTACGTTTAAATTTAAACTTTGACTTGGATGGCATTCATTTTCTGGTTATTCTACTTGCTCTGAGGAAGATGACCAACATTGTGGATGGAAGGAATATTTACCTCTTCCCTTCAAATAAACATTTCATTATCAAAACAACGTTCACATACCTCCCCAACTTGCCATCTTGGATGGCATTCATTTTTTCAGTCTTTCATTGATTCATTTACTAAACTTTTACCTTAATAAATTTAAAGAATGAAGCATTTTTATTCTAAGAATTGTAATGCTTCTTTTAAGTTTTTACAAATTGTAAAAGTTGTAAAATAAAAATTTACTCAAATTTTAATAAATTACAATTTGCTGTAAATTAAAATAACCTTTTTACAAATTGTAAAAATTCTGATTTAATTTCTACAAATTGTAAGCATTAAAGTTCTGATTTAAGTTAATTTTTACAATTTGTAGAAATTAAATCAGAATTTTTACAAATTGTAAAAAATCAAGTTTATTTATTTGTTCTGATTTTAGCTATTAAATTAAGTATTAATTTAAACAAAAATAAAATGGAGGAAGAAATTGACGAAGTTGAACAACAATTAAATAAAAATACGAATAAGACTTGCACAAAAACAACTCGAAAAAGTAAAGAAAATAATTCAGAAAAAATAAAAGAATCGAAGGAATTGTCACCAAAAATTGAAAAAAGGAAGAGTTTAGACAACCCAAAAAATTCTACTTTTAATTCTTCCTTTGTACAACAACAATCACCACCTCAATTATTACCTGCTCCCCAACCTAATTATTGTTTTTATGGGGGATATCCACAAAATTCTTTGCCGTATTTTGGGGGAAATAATTATTCTCAATTTCCTCCTGGTTATTTTTGGCCACCTACGGGAAATCCTAATTTATGGCAAAATGGAGGATTGAATCCTTCGGGAAATGACGAAGATGAAGAAACTGGAGAAAATACAACAAAAAAGCAAAAGCTGCAGCATCAGCCAACTTTACCGGTAAGCTATAAAAATTGGGAAATTTCTCTGGTAAAAATTGTGAAATAAGTTGTAGGTTTTACAACTCTACCAATTGTAATAAGTTTTAAGTTTCGATCAGTTTACAATTTGAGGGAAGGGGGAAGGAATCAGGTAAAAAGTTGTAATTTTACAAATTGTAAATAAAGTTAATCAAGTTTTAAAAACTTATTGCAAATTGTAAAAAGTTGATAATTTGTTTTTAATAAATTTTCACAAATTGTAAAAAGTTTATTTTTTTAAAGTTTCACCCATCTACATCAACTTTTCCTCCTCAATTTTCTCCTTTTCAACATCTTTATTCTGTTAACAGCAATGGAAGTATTATGGGTGGTTTCTATCCTCCTCCAACCGCAGCACCAACTCCAACACCAACAGCAATACCTTTGTTTAATCCTTCTAGTGGATATTTTTATCCACCTCCTTATTATTTTCAGAATAATGCTGCTGTGTTTTTTAATCAGAATAATTTGAAAGTAAAGGAGGAAGTGGAGGAAGAAGAAGAAAATGATGAGGAGGAAGTGGAAGTAGATAAAGGAAAAGAAGAGAAGGAAGGAGAAAGTAAAGAAGTGAACGAAGAAGTCAAAATAGAAGAGAATTTAACTAAAAAAGAACAAAAGGATAATGAAGGAAAAATTAAGATGATTGGGGGAAGGAAACGTGAAATTGATGAAAACTCTTTTACAAAATTTCTGGAAGAATTAAAAGTTCCAAAAAATGTAATTTTAATAATTTAGAATAGTAAAATCAAAATTTATTCTACTAAACTTAAAAAACTAACTTAAGTTTAAGCTTAAGTTTAAAGTTTATTTAACTAAAACTTAAGTTTGCAATTAAGCAAACTTTAGTAAAACTTAACTTAAAACTTAAGTTTGCTAAAACTTTAATTACAAACTTAAGTTCATCTCTTTGCTTTCAAGTTTTAATAAACTTTATTTACAATTGTAAATATTAAATTAAATATACCTAATTCAGAAACACGATGAAAACAATAGCCCCTTCGTTTTGCCTGATCACATTAAGAGTAATAAGGACAAAGATGAAGTAGTTGAGGATGATTCGGAAAGATTTGTCTGTCTAATTTGTGGAGATGTTGCTGGTAAATTATAAAAATTTAATTTTTTTAAAATAAATTTTTTTAATTTTTAGGTAGACATTATGGTGTTATTTCTTGTGAGGGGTGCAAAGTGAATTTTATAAAAAATATTTCTTTAATTAAAAATAATTTTTAAAGGGATTTTTTCGTCGTACAGTGACTTTAGGCATTGATTTAAAGGCTAATTTTAAATGTAGCACTGGATTGGAGAAATGCAAAATGACTAAAGAAACTCGAAATAATGTCTGACCTTTTTATTAAAAAATTTCAAAACTATTTTAGTGCCCTTTCTGCCGTTTTAATGCATGCATTCGCATAGGTATGGATCGTGTTGCTTTGCTTAAACGTGTCAAAAAAATGTACAAATTGGATAACTCACTGATTACTCAAGATAAGGTGAGTTGGAAATATTAAAAAATATTTAAAAAAAAATTTTTTATTTTAGGGATTCAAAGGCCTTACAAAGGAGAAAGTATCACTTGAATTGGTCAATAAAATTTGGTAGAAAAATTAATTTTTTAACCAAAAAAAATTCATTTTTTAGTCTTTCATTTAAAAATAATTGCTTACATCGTCGAAACAATACAATAAACGGCTTGGAAGAATTTAAAAATTATTTATTTTTATTTTTTACACAAAGCATTGAAATTATTACAAATGATACTGAAAATAAAGAAACAACAAAAAATAAAGAAATTGAAAAATCAGAAGAGAAAACGAGGTTTTTAATTGAAACAAACTTGGATGCATTTTTGGTAAGTTTGTAAATTTATATGTATTATTAGAATTTTACCATTCAGAAGTTTGTAAAATTTAAAGTTTATTTTTTTTCAGAATTGTAAACTTGAAATTAAAATGTTATTTTTACAAATAAGAATTTTACAATTGTGTAAATTATCAGAATTTTACAATTTGTAAAATAAGTGTAAAATATTTTTACAATTTGTAAAATAAATTTAATATATTTTTACAATTTGTAAAATAAGTTTAAATTAATTTTACAATTTGTACTATTCCAAGTTTATTTTGTCAGAATTGTAGACTTGAAACCTTATTTTAACAAAATCAGAAATTTTAAAATTACAATTTGTATTTTATTTAATTCAATTTTTAAAGGTTATTCGACATGTTTTTATTGACGATTTACCTTTATTGAAACAATTTTGTAGCAATCCAGAAAATGAAAATGATGAGAAAACTGAAGTAAAAGAAACTGAAGATAATTTACTTGCAAAATTAATGACGAAGGTAATTTTTATAATTTTTACAAATTTGTAAAAATTTACAGGTCGACAAGTTTCGCAAAGGATTGAGTCCGGATGTGCTTCAACCGGAGGAACATGCACTTGTTTCGGCTTTAGGATTTTGTTTTCTTCTTGACTCTTGTGGTAATCAGATTTTAAATAAAAATCAGAATTTTTTTTAAAAATCAAAATTTTTTGAAAATCAAAAATTTTTATTTTAAGACGGCAGAATTTTACGTTCAAAAGAAAAGAAATCTTCTTCAACTTCAAAATCAGAACGAACATATTATGACCAGCTTCGAGATTGTTTGTATACACAAATGTCAATTCGAGACCCGAGCAGATTTAATCATAAGGCTTATAATGCATTGTGCCGTAATTTAAATAATTTATTTGAAACCACTGACTAATTAATTTAAAATTTAATTTTTCTTTAATTAATAGAAGAAAATGACCATTTTTTATATTTATTTTTTAAACAAATTAAAAATAAATTTTAATTTAAAAATATTTTTAATTTTTAATTTTTTTGTCTTTAACTTAAAATTCCACCGGTTTTGCAATATTCCCTTCTATTAGAAGGCAGTAAACTATTTGTATTTGTACTAGTAGGTGTTGTTTTGTAATGCTTTTGGTTAGTATTTTTGTTATTATTTTTGTCTCCCCCTTTTTGTGCAGCTGTGAAGGAGAATATACAAAGCACTGAATAGCATATTTGATCAGCCTAGAAAATTATTATTTTTTAAAATTATTCCATTTTTTATTCAGGACAAGACAAATAAAATATAAAAAAAATATTTGTTGACTAGGGTTGTTTCGGGGAGAATCACGGCGATACATTTTGGCAATGCCAGGCTTATAATGCATTAAGCCACGGAGGGAGGGGGGAATAACTCTATTACTGACTCCTAATCCGTATAATTCTGAATCCCTTGCTTAATTTTAGTCCTTTTATGGAAGATACTCAGATCTCGAACAAAAATGTCGGTTACCTATATTTTCGAGATATCTATCTAGATTTTCATATAACCCTGTAATAGAAACCATAAAATTCCCGTATCCTTTTTTAATAAATTTTGGAATTTTAAATTAATTTTAATTTAAAAAAGTGCAGATAATATATTTATTTTAAAAAAATAAAAATCACAAACATACACAAAATATTTTTTAAAATTAAAATTTACAAAAATAGAAACTAATAAAGTGCTATTAAAAACCACTAAAATAAAAATATAAAAATTAAATCTCCATAGGAAGTAATATTTGCCCCTCAAATTTTTTTATTCGCAATCCTCCATTTTCTGCTTCACCTCCATAAGAAAATGAATTTGAACGTTGTGAAGACCTTTGATTTTGAATTTGAAGAAAGTTGTCTTTGTTTAAAGGGAATTTATTGTTTAAGGCTTGACTTTTGTTATTGGCTTAAATATTGGATTAATAGGGAGAGGTTAAAAAAATTTTTTTTACTCGTCAAATTTTTTTCTTCTTCCTCCGAAGGCACTCTTAGAGGCAAAACAGCTCTGTGTTCATTTTCCTGCCGAGGAGACTTGTAAACTGTTAAGGCATTTTGATCAAAAGTTTTTTTGTTGTTTGGTGTAGGAGGGCAATCACCCAAAGCTATGTGAATAGAAAAAACACGATGCATACACCAGGCAATTGTTGTTGCCTGTAGAGTAAACAAAAGGTTAAAACAAACAAAACAGAGAAACACAAAACAACCGGAAAACACAAAACAAATCAAAAACAGAAACACAAACATAAGACAGTCAATATTCCGGAAGTGTTTGTATTATATTCCGGAAAACACAACAAAAGAAACAAAAACACAAAACACAACCGGAACAAACACAACAGTAAATATTCCGTAAGTGTTTATAATATATTCCGGAAAAACACAAAAAAACACAAAACAAAGAAACAAAACACAAAACAAAGAAACAAAACACAAAACAGAGAAAAAACACACCAAGCAAAAGCGTGCATATATTTAAAACACAACTTTTGTTTTATTAATTTTTAAATAAGGAAGGATACTTACCGCTGTGGAAATATAGCGTCTTTGGATTAGTCGACCACGTTTTCTGTCTATAAATTTATTTAATAATTTAATTTTTTTAATTAGAAAATTACCATATTCTTCAATTACAAACATGTTTCCACCTTTAATAAAAAATATATTTATTAAAATATTAAAATTCAGACCAAGAGTATTGCATTTCTTTATGTTAGAAAGTTCTATCAATTCCTGGAAGAAAAAAATTTTTCTGAGTAAAAAATTTAATTTTCAAATAATTTACTTGAGAATTAACAAATTGTATTTGAATTCCATCAATTCTAACTTTCAGCAATCCCCCCTCATTTCTCTCAACATCGTGTATTGGAAATTCTCCTCCTAAATCACGCCCAGCAGTTTGGTATTTTCCCCTAGAAGCAGCACGCTCCATTGCTGATTTCATGGCGTTGTAAAGCTGACGGCACTGAAGAGAGGAAAATAAATACATAATTAAATTTTAATTAATGTTCCGGAATAGTAAATAATATTCCAAAAATGCTTAAAGTAAAATACAAAACTTAAGTTTCCGGAAAAGAAATATTACAGAATGAGAGCAATAAATATTCCTGAAGTGTTTATATTAGTATATTCCGGAAATGTACTATTTAATAAAATAAATATATTCCGGAAAAGCTTATATTACAAGATAATTTCCGGATATATAAATATAAAATATTCCGGAAAAATCCTAATTGTAAATATTCCGGAAAAACTTTATTTTAATTTAATTTATATCCCTTGCCTTTTTAGTATGAAATTTGTGCATATGAACTTGATCATCATGTCGCTGCCATAGACAAAGAACACGAGCTTTCTAATTTTTTAAATTAATTACGAAATTTTATTTAACAATCTACAGGTGAATAAGTCATGTTCACCATCCTTTCATACCACCAACGTTCTTGTATTGCACCGTTACAGGCACGTAAAATAATTGCATCATCACAAATCTTAGGGGGAATATTTTTAATTTTTTCTCATATTTTTTATTCACCTCTAAAAAGCACAAAGGAGCCTCAGCATTTGAACCTTCATGAACGGCAAATACTTGTTTTTGGATAAGCCTGCTTACAAGCGGTTTTAAGGGGATTTTTCCGGTTGGAGGCTATATATACAAAGTTAAATTGATAAGGAAATTCTGGTAAAAAATTAATTACCAAGGTAATAAGCTCATCCAATAATTGGTTAATACGCTTGGAGTAAATTAAGCCTATGTGTGCCTTTCCAAGCATACGCCTAACTTTTTGTTGAATAGTACGTACAGGGACGTGACATAAATGCATCTGTGGAACAAAGGAATTTTCTTTGAAAAAAAATTTTTTTCTACCATAGCAGTCATATTATGCAATAATGTAGCCAGTATTCTATCCTCTTCAAGCTCCAACCTTTTACGGTCTGCTTCACTTAATTGGGAATAACGGTCAATCATTTCTGCAGGTTCCTCATCCATCTTTATTTAAAAAATATTTTTTTATTTAAATTTAAAATATTACCCCTATTTTATCTCGTTCTTGCGCAACTATATCTAAAAAAGCAGTCTCCCAAAAAGGCATGCGCAACCACAACATATTTGCTCCACTTGCTGAAGAGACGTTTGAAGAAGTAGGAAGGCTTCCAAGCAAATCCTGAAAAAAATGAATATTTTTCCGGAAAATATATTTAACTACAAAGATATTCCGGAAAAATAAAATATGACTGGTTTCCGGAAATAGGTATTAATTAATAAAAAATTCCGGAAAGAATAATGAACTGGAAAACAAGGTTTATTGTTGAATAGGAATGTATTTTCCGGAAAGTAGAATATATATTTCCGGAAATATATAAATATATATTTTATATCTTCCGGAAATATATATAAATCCGGAAAATAGAATTAGTTAAAGAAAATGTATTTTCCGGAAATAGAATTATTTAAAGAGAATGTATTTTCCGGAAAATACAAATAAATACATATTTCCGGAAATGTCTTGTTATTCTTATTCCGGAAAATACAGTTTGTTAACTAAAACACAATTGTGTTTTCCGGAAAATAAAATATACGCTACTACAATACCTGATAAAGAAAATTTCTAGGTGGTTGAACATCATTAATAGTAGACAACGTTGTATTACCAGAATTACTATGCAACTCCTCCAATGTTTTTAAATTTAATGTTGTTGGGGGACTTAATGTTTTTTCTTTTGTTTGTTCTTTTATTTTTTCTTCTACAACATTTTTAATATTTTCTTTTTGTTTATTTTCAATGTGAACTGCATCCTTAACTTTAATTTCATGTGTAGAATTATTTAATAAATTAATTGTTGATAAGGAAATTTTTTCTTCATTTTTTATATTTTGTGTCATTTCTCTATTATCTTTTTTGCCAGTTCCTGTTTCACTTGTTGCACTTCTTGGACGTTGCGGAAGTGGAGGAGGCGATTGTGTAGGGGGAGGAGGATGAGGATGGGGATGGTTTTCCTCATCTTTGGATAGTTCAGAGGAAGATGTGGATTCTGTGTTTGTTAAAGGTGCATTTCGTGGTGGAAGAGGCTGAATTTCAAAAAAATTTCAAAAATTTTTATTTCAACTTACAGGCGCTCTCATAGGCAACGGAGGCGGTGGAAATTTTGGAGGGGGAATTGTGTATACAGTTGAGAGGGATTCCTGCCTTTCTTGAGTTGTTTGAGGCAAAGGACTAATTGAAGGTGGGGGAGGATTAGAAGGAATAGGGGGTGGGGGAGGATGAGCATTTTGATGATTCTGTTGGCTATACAAATTTTCTGTAGAAATTTGACCGTTCTGTTCCTCTTGGCAAATTAATGATGTCTCGTTAGGGATTGGACTAATATTTTCTTGTAAGGGAGTAATTTTCTCACAATAAGAGCCAGATGAGGGAGTGCTCATAGCTGCCAAATTGGTGGAAGAGGCCGAGGGGCTGGTTAACTAAAACGATAAAATAAAGCCGAGAAGACAAGTTTTAGCTAACCAAGCTTTTTATTCCATCCGTAACACTGTTAAGAGTTCCTCCTCCACTAGGTGTTTGTGATTGTTGTAAAGGTGTCCAATAATGGGTATGGGCAATTTCAAGGACGTGGAAAGCTGAGGCTAAGCCTAATTGAGAGTCTGCCATGTTGAAATTGCTAAAAATTTAAAAAAATTTTTAAGTTTCCTAAGGAGGTTAAAAAATTTTTAAGTCCAGAAAATTCCAAAATCAAAATTAAAATCACCTTTCTAGCCCAATAATACAAGCTTGTAACAATTTGAGATATCCACGATATTGAGCTCGACTAAGTTGCTAAATAATGATTTTTAATCTTAAAAATTCTTTAAAAAAATTCTCACCACATCTTGTAAAAATTCATCTTCAGCATAATTAACTTCCAATCCCATATTTAATTTTGAACAAACCAATTCCCTCAAACTTTCATCCTCCAATAATCTTTTTACTTTTGATCCAGAAAATACACCTATTCCCTGTCCAGAAATTACTTGTTCACAAATTTCTAATATTTGTTGTTGACTTTTTCTAAATTTTTTTAATTTTAAGAGAATTTAAAGGATCATATAGAACGTTCAATCATCGGGCAGGAATCAAACATGCAACTGTATGACAGCTCCCGAGTACATCTCGAGATACTCCATAGCAAAGCTTCGAATAGCTTTTAACTAGGAGTACCAAACTACCAGACCGATGACTCAGTCAGCTTTCTATATCATTGAATTTTAAACCCTCGTCTAAGCCACTAAAGCCAGGTCCTTTCCTCACCTTTGTTGTTGCGCAGCAGCAGCATTTTCACGTTCCCTTAATTTCCTCAACCTTTCCATAGCTTCATTATTAATTGACATTGAATCATTAATGTATTCATTACTATGTTTAGCTGCTGTTCTATTTAATAATCCTCTTCCTTCTTCCATTACTCGGTTACTGACAGCTTCCGCAAGAGGGAGAGCTTTTGCCATAGCTTGTGCAGCCTTAGGAGCGCCTTTCTTCATCATTTGATCAAATACCCCTTGCCCACTATTTAATGCTTTATTCATTATTGCAAGTGGACGATTATTATTTTTAATATTTTTTGTTGAAGATGAAGAGCTTAAATTAGATTGTGATCCATTTAGAGGTAAAGATGTTGTTGAATCATTCGTTAAAATTGAAGAGGAATTTTCACATACAGTCGTCGTCTCTTCGTCTGTGGCGTGACCAGAATTTGCAAATGTGAAATCGCCCTTGATTTTAAATTTGAATTTATTTTTTAAATAATTTTTTGGATTAAAATAAGGAAAAAATAATCGCCCAAAAAATTTCTAAAAATTCTCAAAATTTTTTTTACTTTAGCATTTCTTTTTAAAGCCAAGTTTTGAGCTAGACGAGCAAAATCTGCTTCAGAATCAACTACAGAAAGGGGTGAAGAACGACAACTACTGAAAATTAATTTTTTAATTATTCAAAAATATTTTTAAAGCACCTAATATCTGAACTGTCTATACTCATTTTGCTTTCACTTTTAGGTAGTTCCAAACGATTGGGGGCTTGATAAATATCACAAGCATCAGAGAGAGGTTTGGATATGTCCAAATTTAAAGGAGAACGACTTCCAAAAGGTGACCAAGCCCCTCCAGTTTCAACAGAGCCAACAGACTCTAAGTCGCTTGAAGTGGCTGTTGTAGCGAATTCGCTTTCGGCATCGTCGTCTCTGAGGAAAAATTTTTTGAAATTTTTTGAAATTTTTTTCAGTGAAAAATAAAAGCTCACATATTTTCGGAATTATTCCTTTCAAGTAAATTTTCACTTTTATCAATTCGAGATAAAAAGATTGCTTCAGAAAGTGTTGAGCCATAAGGATATGCCTTCAAAATGATTTTTATTTTAATTTAGAATTTTAATTTACATTAAAGTGTACAGGCATTAAAGAATCAGAAAACCATTTTGCTTTGTCGCCTATTTGCTCTGGACTTATTACTCCTGTTTGTATTCGCACATAAGTCTCGTTTGGGGGACAGAGGGAACATTCAGCAAAATATCTGTTAAAAAATTAAGAATCAGAATTTATTATTAAAAATAAAATCAGAATAAAGGGGATTCCAATTCAGAACTAATATTAGTCATAAACTTAAGTTTTTAATTTCAGAATATTAAATTTAAAGCCAGAAACTCAAGTTTATATATCAGAATATTAATTTTGGATATCAGAATATTTGTTTTAAGAATCAGAAACTTAAATTAAAAACCAGAATATTACATTTGAGAGTCAGAAACTCAAGTTTAAATATCAGAATTTTAAATTTTAAAAACCAGAATTCTAAGTCTAAGAATCAGAATTGGGGCAGAGGGCAGAGGGAACATTCAGCAAAATATGGGGTATTACTCTAGTTTCCATAAGTCTAAGAATCAGAATAACTAGTTATAATAATTCACTTACTCGACTGCTTGTGTTTTGCACAATTCTGAAATAAATTCATTGTTCTGTCCACGACTGCGGAGAAATGAATCCACTTGAAGCGCTACCACAGGTCTTGGATATAAACGGATAGTTCGGGTGTGCTATAAAATTATTTTAATTTTTCTTCAATAAAAATTCAATTTTTCTACCTCGCTAAAATTAGCAAAAACATTGGGGCCGCTATAAAAATGTATCATTGCAACTCTACATTTTACATCAATTTCGTCCCCATCCATTGTAGAATTAACAATTCCGTTTTCTAATAGTTCATGTCCTTCTGTTGGGTGTTTTCCCATAGCTCTAAGAAATTCTTCTCTGAGTATGGAGGCCTCATACTCGGGGAATTGGGGAATACGGACAGATTGATCACTCGGCATTATAAGCCGATTTGTGTCCAAATCAGCAAGTAAAACATCGCTAGGTATTTGGATGCCTTTAAAGTGAAAGAACGAGGCTGGCAGTCCAATAACTTTAGAAAAAAAATTTTTTCAAGTTTAAAAAATATTTATTTACTAAAAGGCGTTGGTGCAAGTAATAATTGTTCGGCAGAAGGCATAAATGCCGGTAATAATGGAATAACCGGAAACATATATTCTAGTGGATATAACATTGCTACTAAAGCCATAACACACATGCTTAAAAATTAATTTAATTAATTAGCCTAAAAATAGTGTCCACTACCTAACAGCGTTGTAGTTACGAGATTGGAGAACAACCTTAATAAATTTTAAAAATAAAAATACAAAAATATTTGTGTTTTTAGTTAATAATATGTATTTTCAGAAAAAATACAAAAATATTTGTGTTTTATTTCCGGAATGTTTCCGGAAAATACAAATAAATTAAATAATTTCCGGAAACTTTTCTATAATATTTCCGGAAAGTTTATTATTTTTAAAACAAAAATACAAAAATGTATTTTTCTCCAAACAAAAACACATAATGTATTTTTTCCGGAACATTCACAAATAATGTAATAAAATTAGTTAATAATAACAGTACACACAACATTTAAATATAAATATTTTTCCCTATGGGAAAAATCCAAAAATATTATTTTTTGGATTATCCAACATTTATATAAAAAAACATTTATTTTCCAAAACCTTATATTCAAGCATTATTGCAGCTAGAATTTGCATAACAGCCTCCACCCCCAACAATTCAAGCGGTAAATGCAACGGGAAATCTACCAAAGAAAATCTGGTATAATCAGGAAGGGCAAATTCTAACGGAGAGGGCATCATATCAGATGGAAGAACCTGTTTATTAAATTTATTTTTTAAAAAATAAAATTATTTTTAAACTTCAAGTAATAATTTTGTATTTCCAGGCACGGGAACAGGCGAACTTAGCAATGTAAACAGCCAAGTTTCCAATTGGCGTAATTCTTGCATTACCTTCAAAAAATGTAAAAAATTAATACAGAAATTAGCTAATATATCAGGGGAGGTGATATATCAAGAAGAGGCATATCAGTCTGAAATACACCCCTCGGGACCAATTTGAGGTAATATTTCAAGGAAGTAACATTGGAATAAAAAATCCTACAGGCATAGGAATGCTCATTCCCTGAGGCCAATGTCCTGCCAACACAGTCCACACAGCATCTCGAGGCAAAGATTCGTCCAAGTTGGCACGATAATTGCAACAATCGGCAAGATGTCGAAAAAGGTGCATAAGGTCGCGAAATGCAGAAAGAAAGGGGTGATGACTTAACTAAAAATTAAATTTAAAAAATTAAATTAATTTAAAAATATTTATTAACCAAGCATAGCGATATTAAATGAGCAGAACCACTAGATGAATGTTTGTGGTGTTGACGTTGTTTTTGTTGTTCTATTGTAGTGTTGTTTGTAATAACTGTAGGTGAATTAGGTTGTTGTTGTTCTTTTTGTTTTGCGCCTGTGTTTTACAAAAAGTTTATTTTATTTGTAAAATATTTCCGGAAAAGATGATTTAGTCTTTTATTTTTCCGGAAAAAATACCGGATGAATAGATGTTTCCGGAATTCGTTTAAAGAAAGTTTCCGGAAAATACTTATGAGTAATATACATAATTATAATAGCTTTCCGGAAAGTTTATTTACTTAGTTATTTCCGGAATCTGAATTATTTAATATTTTCCGGAAAAATACAAATATCTGAAAATTTCCGGAAATATTATAGTTTCCGGAAAGTACATTCACCTAATATACATAATTAAATATCTTTCCGGAAAGAATAAAAATAAATATTATCATTATTACCAAGGCTAAGAAAGAAGCTCAAAGTTACTCCATAGCGCACCTTGGCAGTATCTTTTTCAGTTAACATAAAAACAAAAGAAGTTGCCTCGTTAAATAAATTTCTAAAAATTTAATTAATAATTTAAAAAATTAATTTTTCCACCTTTTTCTTAATTGATGAAAACCAGATCCTGTGTAAGACACAGCACCTTCTGGCTGACAAAAATAAACAACATCTCTGGGTAATTCAAAATCTCTATGATTTTCATTTGGATATCTTTAAATTACAAAAATTAAACAAAATAATCCTCATAAATTTTAAAACCTTCTCAATAATTCTGGATGGCTAATTAATCCCCCTGGAGGTGCGTTGTTGAATAAACCGCCCTCAGCTGAAGCAACGCCGTTTTGAGTTGGAATACGGCGACGTTTGGAAGATGTAGAGGGGCGTGAACCGACAATTACAATATCTAATTAATTTTTAAGGAATTATAATTAAATAGTTTTCCGGAAAAATAATTTTATGTATTTTCCGGAAAATACATAATTTATTACTTATATTTTCCGGAAGGTATTGAATTTAATATGATTTTTCCGAAAGGTATACATTTAATAAATTTTCCGGAACGTAATTATATTCTTAATAGAAATTCCGGAAACGATAAATTTAATGTATTTTCCGGAATGTTTAATTTAAAAACAAATAAAAATACAATCTATTAGCCGTGGACATATTGAGTTAGCAACACAAGTCTTTCCGGGTTGAAAAAGCCGTTGACCGGGTTCCATTTTTCAATAGAAAAAACAATAATTAAATTCCAAATAATATTATCATGCTCTAAAAAATATTTTTTTAATTTTTAATTAATAAATACAATATTTAAATTAAATAATAAATTGTTTTTAATTTGGTATTAAATTAGCAAAATAACAAAAATAATTATTTTAACTTATAAATCTTCAGCAAAATTAATTTTAAAAAATTTTCGAATATTTTTCTAAATTCAAAAATATTTTTTAATAAATTATTCTTCAACAAAATAAATAAAAATATTTTAAAAAGGCTTAATAAAACAGTATAAAAATAATAAAAAAAAGATTCAAGCTTATAAGAAAGAACGGCCAGCTTCTTGCCATTAAAGGGTAAGCATAAGAGGAAAAAGAAAAATATAAAAATATAGGTAAAGCTTAAGCATTTTTTGCAGTTTTTTCTTTTAACGTAAAAAAACAAGAAACAAAAAAAGCGGGTGGCACTAGTAGGGCATTATTGATTCCCTTCCCTTCCCTTACTCTCGCTCAATTCTCGTTCGTCCATACAGTCGAGACGGGACTGGGCCGTTTTGGCGCGGGGCCGTTTTGGCGCGAGCTTATAAGATAGCGAGTTCGTTATCAAAAATGATAAAATTTTGCAATAATAACTCTCATACCTTTATCTAGGTTCTCCAAAAATTTCAGAATTTTTGATCAATAATTTCGGAAGTTGTGGCCAAAAATGTCGATTTTTTGAAAAATGCCTAATTTTTCGAGGTTCCTCGACTATAACTTCAGAAATATTTGATAAAAAATTCTGAAATTTCTGGAGCAAGTAGTCAAAGATGTTAAAGAAATCTGAGAAAATTTTTATGAAGTTAGGTCTCGCCTAAGTGCCACTATTTTGTTCTCGCGCCAAAACGGCCCGGCGCCAAAACGACCCCAACCCGTCGAGACTTTCCCCCCTTTCATTTACCCTTAGTATTATAGTCTCCCTATTCCCGTCACACGCACACCACCCAATGAAATGTGAATGAGGGGCTAGCTAGTAGCTGCTTTTCTCTCTTTTTTGCGGTTTTAAGGGGGAAAGATGAAATGTGAGTGTAAAAAAAGTATGGCCAAAAAGCTGTGCCTATTAAGGAAGGAAAATAAGGGTAAAAATGAAAGGCGGCGGAAGAAATGACAGAAATTGAGTTTGAAAGAATTTATGGCGAGGGGAGACTAATGAAAGGGCTTTAACAATAAAATTTAAAAAAATAAAAAGGACAATTGAAAGAGTAAAATGTGAAAATAAAGGAAAAAATAAGGGGTTAAATAGTGGTTAATTTTTAATTTTTTCTGGGGTAAATCACAAAGCAAATAGGGAGTAATTATTTGAGAGAGTAGGGAGGATTATTAAGATAATTATTTGAGAGAGGGAGGTACTTATATCAGCAATTACGGTAATTCTGTTTTTTTCGAATTTTAAAATTAATTTCTACCTTTATTCCTACCAGGGGCGGGCGCGAGAAACAATTACGAAACACGCGTCCGCCCCTGCTTCCTTCTACATAAATTTTGAATAATCTCAAATAAATAAATTTAAAAAAAATTTTTTTAAGAAAGGAATTTTTTATTTATTGTTTGAAGCAACTAAAAAGCCCTATATAAAAAAGTAACCTATAATTTTGGCAATTTATTTTATTTTTTAAAAAGATATACTAAAATTATTTTATTTATTACACAATCATCCTTCCTAGTTTTTACGACTTTTCCCTTTATCTTTCTTAATTTTTCATTTTACCTTATAATTATTTTGAAATTTTCTAGGGACTGAATAATAACATGTAAGATGTGAAATTATAGAAAAGAAAAAAATTTTTAAAAAAATTTAAAAAAATATATGTAAGGGGATTAATATTCCCTTGTCTAAACAACTCCTTTTAAGCATTAAAGAACAAAGAAAATTTAATTAGTTTTTTTTTGACACAGTAAAGTTTTAGAAAAATACTATGAGGAAGTTAATTAAAATGTTTGTTATATTTTTATTTACAACACTATTAAAAAAAAGCTTTTGTTTACACAAATGTTTAATTAGGTATAAAAAAGGAAATACATTTATGTATTTTCCGGAAACTTATATTTATATCTAAAAGTTTCCGGAAATATATTTATTTTTAATTAAAAGACTTCCGGAAATATATTTAAACTTTCCGGAAACCTATTTAAATATTTCCGGAGACTATATTTTTCCGGAAACATATCGCTAATATATTTCCAGAAACTTATTTTTGGTTAAAATATTTCCGGAAACTATATATATATTTAACTTTCCGGAAAGCATAAATAAAATATTATAATTAACACAAAAGAATTATTCATATATGTATTTTATTTTTACTCCTTTTGAAGGAGTACTTTTTTTTACTTTTTATAAATTAAAAAATGTTTTTTTGACTAATTTCTACAAATTTTATTTTAAATATTTAAAAATAAATTCAAGCTTTTTCTTCTTCTCCTTCCTTTTCCTCCTCTTTATTATTTTCCTCCTCTTTCGTAGGTTCATTGTAGTATTCCTCCCAATCAAGAAGGTTGTTGGTTTCATACAAAACAACTTGTAAAGCATTGAACACTAAAAAATGGAATTTATTTAAAATTCAAAAAAATTCCAAACATCTTTTGGTCAATTCCAATTTCTTTTGTGCTTCTTCTTTCATTTTGTACAGCTCCTTAGTTTCAGTAGTAAGGTCAAACAGAAGGTAATGACTTCCTTGGCGTAACAAATTTGAGAGGCGTTCAAACGTGCCCTCAACATATTGGTAGTAATTTTCTTGTTTCTGTAAGAAAAAGTGAGGTCAGGGATATCCCAAATCGTTTTTGAGGACATATTTATGTGGGCTCATAATGGTCAGATAACAAACAATAGTCAGATCTTATTGAATTGCGTGATAGTATTCATGCTCTGGCTATTATAGGACCATTATAAGTCTGCAAAAACTCGTTTAGGAAAACCCACAGGTACCCGAAGTCTGATAAAATATTTTCTGTTCAACTTACATATCCATTTTTAACTCCAAGAAGTGCCCAAAGATTCGGGATTAATTTAAGCTCTCTAACAAAAGTGCCAAAATCTGGATGTGGATTGGCATGCTTTCTTAGTATAACTTCAGAAACTTCAACAAATCCTCTCTGTTCAATAAACTTTTCACAAACATTTAAAGCAAAAGCTAATTCCGCTGCTTTAGTTTTGTAATTCTCTCTCTTCGTCTGAGGAATGTTCATCAACAAATCTGTTGCGAGCAGAACGTTTTCCTCATTTTTTTCGGTTTTAGTGGTGGTAGTTTCATAAACAAAAATTTCTTTGGTCAATTTTGCTACTTTTTTGGTTATATAATTTTTGTAATATTCCACTCCCTTCTCCCCGCTCTTCTCTCCCGACTTTCCTCCCTTTCCTTCTTGTTGCTTCTTCAAATTATGAGGGTGCTTCTTCAACTTTTCCTCCTCATTTTTCTTAGTCATTTCCTTCTCTTCCATTAATCCTCCCAAATTACTTCCATTAAATTCAGCAAATTTTTCTTCACTCGAAACACTCGACTTTTCTTTTTTAACACCTTTCACAGTATTAAGCTTTACAGCTTGAAGAGTTTCCTTTTTACTATCAAACGATTTCTTTTCGAATCCATTAATATGTTTTGGTTCAAAAGCCTTATTAGCAACCGAAACTTTTTCTAAACAAAAATTTATTTTAATTTCTAGGACCCTCAGAAATTTTTATACCTTTAGTAGTAGTCGTATCGAGGACTGGTTTATGGCTGTCGGTTGATGTAGCCATTATTTTCGTATTTTTATTCATTTTCCGCATCGGCAAGTTTGAAAACGAGGCAGATCTATTATTTTTTGTTTAAAAATTTTTTTAAATTTTTTATGACCCTTATGAACCTTTAGGAATGAAAAAAAAATTTATTAAGAAAAATACCCTGAGGCAAAAATGGGTTGAGATTCCATTTTTAAAAGCTTTGGCAAAATTCCTGTTCCGGCACTTGAATGAACAACCATCCCTGAGATTTGTTGAACATTTAAAATTAACAGTATGGCAATTATATTAAAGGGTATTGTTGAGGTAATTAACATTATTTTTAATTTATTCTCTTGGGTGATGAAATGGGGGAGATTTAAAGAGTAGTAGATTTTTTAGAGGGGATTTTTTGATTTAAATCAATTTGATTGATAGACTGATAATCACGTAAATATATATACGGGCCTTGGATGGGCGGTAAAGACAAAAAAATATTTAATTGTATGACCATTAGCATGGGTTGACCTTTTTCATGAGACGTCTAGCAAATCTTGAGGTTTTTCAACATGTATTTCAATGAAAATTGAGTTTGCGCATTGTTGCACTTATAAAGGCTTTGTAAAAATATTATTGAAATACACGTGAACATCACTTGTATTTTCCCGTTATATATTTTGTATTTTTAGTTTTAATTTTGTATTTTTCCGTAATTGTTTTCCGGAAAAGTTTTAAAAAATAATTATTGTGTTTTTGTATTTTTGTTGTTTTCCGGAAATATGTGTATTTTTGTTCTAATTTTGTATTTTTCCGGAAAAGTTTTTATTGAATCATTGTGTTTTCCGGTAATAATTGTATTTTTGTTTTTTCCGGAAATAGGTGTATTTATTTTCCGGAATGTATTTATATTTCCTGAATATTTCCGGAATATTTTTCTCTAACCTCTTCTAGCAAACACAACAAAACTAGCCTTTAAAAATTCACTTTATTTGTTAACCGGAAGAGAATCCCTCATGTTTTCCTTCCCTAAATTATAACATGACCAAGTCATAGGGGGGAAAAGCGGATGTTTTGAGGATGTGAATGACTGACTGAATGACTGTCTAGTGAATGCACTTGATTAAACACAAGTCATAGGGAAGCACTTATGCATGCGCACATATTTTTTATAATGAAATTGGCTAACCTTTGAATTATTGGCAAATTGCCGATTTAAATCATTTTATGCAAAAAAATATTTTTTTTCTTCTAATCCCTAAAATTATCAAAAAAAATTTTTATAACAAATTTATTTTTTCTACTAATTAACAATTTAATAATTTGTATTTTTTCGATTTCCTCCTCCTTTGCTTCAATTGCCATTCTCCCCCATTTTCATCTTCTTCCTTCACTTCATTCTTCTCTTCTTTTTCTTCCTCTTTTTTATCCTCTTCCTTGTCTAAACCAATTTTTAATCTTATCATTTCTTCCCTCTTATCTTCAGATTTATCCAAGAAGATTATAGCATCCATAACAGATTCCTCCTCTTCCCCTTGCTTCTTCTTCCCTTCCATAGCGGTTGTAGTAGATTCCCTCAAGGAATTCCCACTCTCCCCTTTCTTTTCCTTCTTCCCATATTCCTCCACCCTTATGGACGAATCTTCCTCCTTCTCCTCTTCCTTCTGCTTCTTCCCTTCTATAGCAGTTGTGGCAGATTCTCTCCCCTTCATGAAACAATCCCCCTCTTCATCCTCATCCTCCTGCTCCTTCTTCCCTTCCATAGCGGTTGTAGCAGATTCCTTCACCTTTATGAAGCAATCCTCCTCTGTCTTCTGCCTCTTCACTTCCATAGCGGTTGTAGCAGATTCTCCCAAGGACTCCTCCTTCTCCCCTTTCTTCTCCTTCTTCCCAGATTCCTCCAACCCTATAGAAGAATCTTCCTCCTTCTGCTTCTCCTCTTCTTCCCTCTCTTCAACTTCCTTATTTTCCTCCTTATTTCCTCCCCAAACATTATTACAATACATTGGAGTACTTGCTCTAGGGACCGACTTCTTTTGCAATAATTTCTTCTTTACACCACCCCCATCTTTAGTATTATTCAGGCAATAACGGCACTCTTCCTGCTCCTTTTCATTATTATTATAATCATTTTTATCTTCTTTTTTGTCCTCATTTTCAATAAAAATAAGTGGAAGAACATCAATTTTTAATACTTGCTGTTCTTCCTTCTTTTGTGTTTCTTCTATTTTTAATTTTTCCAAATTAAATTCCATTGTGTTTGCTTCAAAATTTGATTCTTTTTTATCTTCTTTATTTAATTTATTTTTATTCTGACGCTTTTTTCTCTTCTTCCCCTTATTTTTAGCTTGCTCATTTACTTCTAGGTTTGCTTCAATTTTTATTTTTGCTTCATTTTCAGTTTTTGTTTCATTCTCTTGTTTTGCTTCACCTTTTAGTTTTGCTTCCGTTTTTGTTTCATTTTTAATTTTTTCTTCATTTTCCTCAAGGTTTGTTTCATTTTCTTTTAAAAGCTTCGCTTCATTCCCCCTTTCCTTCTTTCCACCTTCTTCGTTATCTTCTTCCCTTTCCCTCTTCTTTTCACCTTCCAATACCTTTCTACCTTCATTTCCACTCTTCCCACCAACCTTCCCAACACCCTTCTCTTCAGTCATCCCTTCATCCTTTCCTTCATTCCTCTCTTCAGGCAATTCCTTCTTTACCTCTTCAATTATTTCCTCAGTAATTTTATAAAGTGAATGTCCTTCCCCCATCACAAATTTAAACATCCCCAATGCCTCTCCCAAATAATTCAAAGCTTTTTGACGTTGTCCCAATTTTTTCGCAAAAATTCCAATGTTTCTAAGGTGAAAGGCTAAAGCTGGGTGATTGTGAGGATAACAGAGCCTTAAACAATTTTCCACGTTTAAATGTAATTCTAACAGAAGAGTTGAGTTGTTTGGGTCTATGAAAGGGAGTAGGGCCTGAAAATTAATTTTTTGAAGTTTTTTTAAGAAACAGCGACGTTTACGGACCGAAATTTACGGATAAACCTAATGTATAAGCCTTCGATATTGAAATAGAGGGGCACTAGGTTTTGTCCAGTACTTTCAGGATTACCGTGTATACCCAAGTAATTACCCTCTCTCAACTGATTACCCCTTCTTTCTGGAGGTAGCTCCTTCCTAGAGGTCCTTTCTAGATTACTCTAGGGGTAAAGTATATACGGTATTTTGGTGATACTGTACTCTCCACAGTTCATTCTATAACCTATAAAACAGGGTATATCCACTGGGTATCCGCAAATATCGTTTTACCCTTTTTAGAAATACTACCTGTACAATTTTACACATATACACGTTGATTGGGGGAAGTATTTTTTGATGCCTAGACAATAAATCTTGAAGAAATTTCTGAGCATTAATTTCCCCCATTTCTTGAAAATTTGTTTGTTCAATTACCTTAAAATTTAATAATGTCAATATTTCGTAATGCCCAAAATTACATCGCTGATAAAACACATGGCTGAAATAGCCTCCAAAACCTGCCCTTTCTCCAACATTTTATTACAACTTGGACAGGTAATTAATTGTGTTTCAGAATTCTTATATTCTGATTTTCCAAAAATGCAAAGAGAATATTCACAATTTGGGCATAACATTGAAGATAGTATCTGTTCTGATTCGTCCAGACAACGAGAGCATTCACAGGTGAAATACCATGTGTCTGTATTTTTTTGTGTTTTTCTTGTGTTTCTTGTGTATTTTCTTTTATTTTTCGTATTTTTGTGTTTTTTTTGTATTTCTTGTATTTGTTGTATTTTTTGTGTTTTCTGTTTTTGTATTTTTCTTTATATTTCTGTATTTTCTTGTATTTTTTTTGTATTTTTTGTGTATACCTTTAAGTAATTTTCGTCTGTCCTGTTTTGCACAAAGCAAGTCAATATAAGAATAAAATGTTGAGGAATAATCCAAAAGATTGACCTTTTGAAAATTTTGACATTATGAAAATTTTTGGAATTTTTATTCAAAATTAAAATTTTTAGGTTTCGAGGGCTCGAAACCATTTTAAATTTATTTTAAAAACTACCTTAGAATCTAACGATCTCAATGTAGCTATAAATGAGTGACAACTGTATACTGTATTTGGGCGACAACTAATGAGAGAAAATTAATTTTTAATCAACTTTTTTAAGATTTACCTATGGTCATAAGCACACAAATCCAAATAAAGACCCTTTCCAATTTCCTACTTGATTTGTATTTTAATTTTTATATTTTTTCAATTTATCTTTTACCCTCAAATAGTGTTTATCGCTAATAGCGTGCCGGTTGATAAAATCACGGCAATGGAGTTCAAAGACTACTTGTTTGTTAAGCATTGCTTTAGGGTCATAGAAGCGACATAAACGTTCATAAATGCCTAGAAAATTTATTTTAAGCATTTTTTCGAGTTTTTGACATTTCGAAATATTTTTGGGTACTTGACATTTTGAAAAAAAATTTTTCCTAAAAATACCTTCAAATTTCCTCATTGCATATTCATCATTTTTAATCCTCTCAGTATGCGCCCAAATCTCCATAATTTTACGTTTGGATTGTCTATCTTTGTAAAAATCTGGGTCTTTTTTGTCTACTCCACAAAGGATAGCCTTAAGAAAAATTTTTTTTAATTTTTCCAAAAATTTTCCTATACTTTATGTCTGCTCACAATACGTCCAAGCAGTCTAACTTCAATATCCGGGACTTGTCCTTTGTTTAATTTAATTCCTTTACATTCAAATTTGTGGTCTTTCCAACCCAGGCTTTGACAGTTTTTATCACAAAACATTGCGTTTTGACAGCCTGTACATCTTCTGTTTTGTTTAAAAAAATTTTAATATGTAATTAATCTGTGTAGGAATCGAACCTCCTAACAAAAATCTAGGTTATCCTAGATCGAGATTTTTCGAGATATCGAAACTCAATTCTCGTACAACCTCACAAGTCCGGTCTCTTATTAATTAGCCGTTATCTCTCTTTGGAGCTAAAAAGATGAGTGGAACCGTTAGTGGACAGAACCGCCCTTCCAGCATTTTGTAGCCATAGGGGCACTTTTAAGGGGGATTTGTGGACTTAAAGTGGACAAGGTGGTATTTTATGTTGAAACCAACTTTAATTTTTTCTCATCATCCAAGCAATACCAACAATGTTTTTCTAAGCATTCATCAAACAGGGCATAGGCAAATGGATAAAAATCGAGTTTTGTTGAAGTTGAAGAGGATTCCATTTATTTTTAGAGGGTTAATTTCTCTCAAAATTGATTAGAAATTAATAATATTTCAACAAAATTAAAAATTTTGAGGGAAAGGAATGTTCATTTCTCTTTACCTTTTTGCTTTTTTTTGTTGAGAAAAGTGGCTTGGAAATCGAAGAAAAGGAAGCTTTTTCATATTTGCTAGGTAGATACTGAATAGCAGCTGCTTATATTTTTTTAACATTTTTTAACTGAATGATTTTTGTTTTCTCTGATTTTTTTATTATTATTTTAGTAGAGAGACAAATGTTTTTGTGTAAAATAGTGGTGGTGATTTTCACACTAATATTCTGTGGATTTTACATTCACACTTAGGGTTGGAAAAAAGTTATAAAATTGAGGCGATTCAGTTTTCCTACCCTGGGTAATTATTGTTTCGATCTTCTGCTGGAGGGAGTAGTTAATCAAGGGAGACAATTATATGAGGTTTAAAATTTGACCGTGTTTAGGGCTTGATAGGGGCAATTATTGTTTCAACATTTAGCTGGAGGGACGATTAATAGAAGTGAGGTATCTATTTAAGGGAGGTCAATTAATTCATGTTATACGGTAATTTCATCTTTTTTTAAATTATCCTTAGTTTAGTTAAACATAAAATGTAAAATTTTAGAAAAACAAAAAAAGGGGAATTATTACCTAAATTATTGGAGAATTATACAAACCTAAATTATATTTTTTTAATTTTCCGTCTAATCTTCATTTTTTTATTGTTACAAACAAACACACCTTTTACAAATTTAAATGTTTAATCAGACAAATTATTAAACAAAAAATTTTTTAATACTATTTTTAAATGTTAATTATTAAATTTTGTTGCGGGGCGGTCGGAAACACTGCAAATCAAAACTGAAGATTTTTTAAATTTTTAAAGATTTTTAAGAGGGGGAATGGACAAGAATGTTTTTATTAAATGTTAATCCGGCTGCCTCCGTTACATATTATTCAGAAGCCTAAACTAAAAATTATTCAAAAAATATTATTCACATTGAGCAATTAATCAGGGTGTTTTAAATTTAATTTTGTTTGGGTGAAGAAAAATAAAAATTGAAAAAAAAATTTAGAAATTTTTTTGGGGAAGAAAATTTTTTAATAAATTTGCTATTTTTGTTATTATCAGAGAAGAAAATTTTGCGCCACAAAAAAAAATTTTTAAATATTTTTAAAAATAATCGAATTAAATTTATATTTAGGCGCTAAGATTTATTTTTAGGCATTCATTTTTGTAAGTTCCTCAGCAGCGCCAGTACATATTTGGTGTGCGAATGCTTTATAGTCACATTTACCTATAAAAATGTATTTTTAGATTATAAATGTGTTTTCCGGAATTTATATTTGTATTTTCCGGAATATATAAAAATATTTTATTTTAGTACATACTCTTTCCGGAATTTATTGTGTTTTCCGGAATATATAAAAATATTCTTATGTTTATAAGTTTTCCGGAATTTCTATACACTTTATCCGGAAAGTATATAAAAATATTTGTTTTTATATAAACATTTCCGGAATTTATATTTGTATTTTCCGGAAATATAAAAATATTTTATTTTAGTACATACTCTTTCCGGAATTTATTGTGTTTTCCGGAATATATAAAAATATTCTTATGTTTATAAGTTTTCCGGAATTTCTATACACTTTATCCGGAAAGTATATAAAAATATTTGTTTTTATATAAACATTTCCGGAATTTATATTTGTATTTTCCGGAAATATAAAAATATTTTATTTTAGTACATACTCTTTCCGGAATTTATTGTGTTTTCCGGAATATATAAAAATATTCTTATGTTTATAAGTTTTCCGGAATTTCTATACACTTTATCCGGAAAGTATATAAAAATATTTGTTTTTATATAAACATTTCCGGAATTTATATTTGTATTTTCCGGAAATATAAAAATATTTTATTTTAGTACATACTCTTTCCGGAATTTATTGTGTTTTCCGGAATATATAAAAATATTCTTATGTTTATAAGTTTTCCGGAATTTCTATACACTTTATCCGGAAAGTATATAAAAATATTTGTTTTTATATAAACATTTCCGGAATTTATATTTGTATTTTCCGGAAATATAAAAATATTTTATTTTAGTACATACTCTTTCCGGAATTTATTGTGTTTTCCGGAATATATAAAAATATTCTTATGTTTATAAGTTTTCCGGAATTTCTATACACTTTATCCGGAAAGTATATAAAAATATTTGTTTTTATATAAACATTTCCGGAATTTATATTTGTATTTTCCGGAAATATAAAAATATTTTATTTTAGTACATACTCTTTCCGGAATTTATTGTGTTTTCCGGAATATATAAAAATATTCTTATGTTTATAAGTTTTCCGGAATTTCTATACACTTTATCCGGAAAGTATATAAAAATATTTGTTTTTATATAAACATTTCCGGAATTTATATTTGTATTTTCCGGAAATATAAAAATATTTTATTTTAGTACATACTCTTTCCGGAATTTATTGTGTTTTCCGGAATATATAAAAATATTCTTATGTTTATAAGTTTTCCGGAATTTCTATACACTTTATCCGGAAAGTATATAAAAATATTTGTTTTTATATAAACATTTCCGGAATTTATATTTGTATTTTCCGGAAATATAAAAATATTTTATTTTAGTACATACTCTTTCCGGAATTTATTGTGTTTTCCGGAATATATAAAAATATTCTTATGTTTATAAGTTTTCCGGAATTTCTATACACTTTATCCGGAAAGTATATAAAAATATTTGTTTTTATATAAACATTTCCGGAATTTATATTTGTATTTTCCGGAAATATAAAAATATTTTATTTTAGTACATACTCTTTCCGGAATTTATTGTGTTTTCCGGAATATATAAAAATATTCTTATGTTTATAAGTTTTCCGGAATTTCTATACACTTTATCCGGAAAGTATATAAAAATATTTGTTTTTATATAAACATTTCCGGAATTTATATTTGTATTTTCCGGAAATATAAAAATATTTTATTTTAGTACATACTCTTTCCGGAATTTATTGTGTTTTCCGGAATATATAAAAATATTCTTATGTTTATAAGTTTTCCGGAATTTCTATACACTTTATCCGGAAAGTATATAAAAATATTTGTTTTTATATAAACATTTCCGGAATTTATATTTGTATTTTCCGGAAATATAAAAATATTTTATTTTAGTACATACTCTTTCCGGAATTTATTGTGTTTTCCGGAATATATAAAAATATTCTTATGTTTATAAGTTTTCCGGAATTTCTATACACTTTATCCGGAAAGTATATAAAAATATTTGTTTTTATATAAACATTTCCGGAATTTATATTTGTATTTTCCGGAAATATAAAAATATTTTATTTTAGTACATACTCTTTCCGGAATTTATTGTGTTTTCCGGAATATATAAAAATATTCTTATGTTTATAAGTTTTCCGGAATTTCTATACACTTTATCCGGAAAGTATATAAAAATATTTGTTTTTATATAAACATTTCCGGAATTTATATTTGTATTTTCCGGAAATATAAAAATATTTTATTTTAGTACATACTCTTTCCGGAATTTATTGTGTTTTCCGGAATATATAAAAATATTCTTATGTTTATAAGTTTTCCGGAATTTCTATACACTTTATCCGGAAAGTATATAAAAATATTTGTTTTTATATAAACATTTCCGGAATTTATATTTGTATTTTCCGGAAATATAAAAATATTTTATTTTAGTACATACTCTTTCCGGAATTTATTGTGTTTTCCGGAATATATAAAAATATTCTTATGTTTATAAGTTTTCCGGAATTTCTATACACTTTATCCGGAAAGTATATAAAAATATTTGTTTTTATATAAACATTTCCGGAATTTATATTTGTATTTTCCGGAAATATAAAAATATTTTATTTCAGTATATACTCTTTCCGGAATTTTATATGTATTTGTATTTTCCGGAATTTATATTTGTATTTTATTTTAGTATTCTCTTTCCGGAATCTATTTGTATTTTCCGGAAAAAGATATTCTTCTGTTTATAAACTTTTTCCGGAATTTCTATACGTATTATCCGGAAAGTATATAAAAGCATTTGTTTTTAATTTTAAAATTTTCCGGAAAGTATTTTCCGGGTCATCTAAAAATACAGATATTCCGAAAAAATACATTCTTGTATTTTACTTTTATATTTTAATTTTAAAACTTGCCTCCGCTAATCGGAGGGTTGCCCTTGTACATTGACTGAACCTCATCCTCACTGAGAGGCTCGCCCCTTTTATTCTTCAAAATTTTCATTAAAGCTTCTTCCGTGATGAAACCAGACTATAAAAAATATTTATATTTTCAAGAATTTTAAAAAATTTCTCTCAACTTACGTCAGACTTATCCCACATTTGAAAAGCTCCAACAATCGTTGCTTCTGGGTCAGTTCCTTTAATAATTACAATTTATTTCTATCCATAAAGAGGCAAATATTTAAATTTACCAGTCAGTCTTTCACCAAACAAAGTCAAAAACACCGTAAAGTTAATTGGCCCCGGAGCTTCTTTCAACATTGCATCAATTTGTGACTCACTTGCAATACTTCCCAAAGTTGCATACAAATCTTTTAAATCCCCTTTACTTATAACTCCGTCTTTGTCTTGATCCATTATTGCAAAAGCTTCTTTAAATTCTTGAATTGTCTTCTGGTCAAAAGAGCTGGCTTCTGATCCGGTTCTAGACTTCTTTTTAACCTTCTTTACTTTCTTCTCTGACTGAAAGAAAAAATGATAAATATAAAGGTGTTTTCCGGAATAATATGAAAATACTGTATAAAACACACCTAGAGAATATACTTTTCCGGAAAATACTTAAAACAAATAATTTGTGTTTTCCGGTTTCTATTTCAAGGAAAATACATTCCGGAAGAATATAAACACAAATAAAGAATATACATTTTCCGGAAAACACAAAGTAATTAATTTGTGTTTTCCGGAATGTATATTCATTCTTTTACAAAGACACAAATAGAAGGTATACATTTCCGGAAAATCTATTTACATGGATTCCGGAAAATACAAATAGAGAATATAAACATTCTCCGGAAACTCATTTAATTAATTTAATTTTAAAAAAATAAAATTGCTTACCATTTTTGCTGTTTAGTAGAAAAACTTGAAGCCAAAAAGTTTTAATAAAACTAAGGATATGAAACAAGTGGAATGCTATAAAGCCTTGGCAGTTGTGGGAGTTAGTTTACTTTAACAAAAAAATATTTTATAGTTGGAAATTCTTTAAGCTAAAAACTAGTTAAAGCTTTGAGAGATAAAGCACTTTAAAATCTGTTGTTTCTAAAGGTAGAGAACAAAACAAAAATGATGGAGAGAAAATCCTGACAGATCACTAACGGACTTTTCTTTTTCTAGCTTTAGTAAATCAACAATAGACTAGTCAATGTAAAATAAATAGGCATTTCCGGAAAAACACAAATATTTACTTAAGTCTTGTATTTTCCGTAGTTTTGTATTTTCCGGAAAAAACATAATGTTAAAATACTCTTCTATATTATTATAATAAAGTTTCCAGAAAATACATACATCTCTTGTCAGAATTTAGATATTTAAATAGAAGGGAATAAATTTTCCGGAAACATTTTTGAGTTGACTTTTCCGGAAATAGTAAAGTTACAATATTGTATTTTCCGGAAAGCTATAAGAATCCTATTGTTGATTATCCTTTTTAGTTCAATATTGTTTTTATTTCCATTCTATTAAATCTAGTAGACAGTTACTCTCTCTCTTCTCAGGCAAAAACATTAAACAGCCTTTCCTCGAATAAGCTTAGAAAACAACGACAGATTTAATAAGCTGATATGAGTGAAGAGAAAAAAAGCGGAGGCGGATCAAGCAACTGAATAAAATTGAAAGGATTTTTAAGTACTAGAAAATAGAAGAGGAAAGCAAAGTCGACAACTGGCAGTCTCTTTGGAACAAAATTCTTTGTGAACAAAAAGTAGAAACATAGCTAAGCTAGAGAGGATATTTAATAAAGACGAGATCAGGCAAATAATGAAGCAGCCCTCTTATTCTAGCTATCGATCAGTTATTCTCGTTAATTAAAAAAAGATTTAAAGTAAAGTGGCACTTGGTAGAACAAAATAATATAGAGGTATGTAACTCAGTTTCAGAGGTCTGTAATTCGGTACCTGTACATCAGACCGGCTTCTTCCCCACTCGATCGTTGCTCGACGAGCTTTCTTAAACGACGTATAATTGCAAAATCGAGTGATGGGAAAATTCGACAAACTGCCTAAAAGTGAGAACGGATAAGGCGTCAAAGGGAAGCTGAACAAATTACCGATAGACCAAAACAGGAAAGATGTCTAAAAAGGAATAATGGCCAGTGACACTAAAGGAAGTAATGTCGTATCTAGAGACCGGACGGTGAATGTTGTACGAGAATCGAGATCGCGTCTCGGTCGGTCTCCAGTAGGGGAATTTGTTGGCCCACCTTATTTCGACAAATAAGCTGTCATTCAAAAGAGCACGGCAAGCTGAGTCGATCGCGCAGAGGAAGAAGGCCGAACGGACTTATAGGGACTTATAGGGACCGTGTTATAATATTGAAATTTGAAAAAAGAATATTGAAAAAAGAAGGGAGTAAGCCCATTTTCGTTGTGAAAAATCAGCCAAGTACTTATTGGTCCCAATTAGTTTTTTATGTCCGGCATGGTCAAATCCTTCCTCAGTTACATCGGCCTAAGTACACTTTACCGGGGGATTTTAGATTTGAACAATTTATATGTCATTCGAAAGAGCTCGGCGAGCTGAGTCGAACGACACCAAAATTAGCCCGCGGACTCAACTGTGGGCCAAGATATAGGTCCCCAAAAATCGAAAAACCATAGGGAGGACCAAGCACTTTTTTGGGGGTGAAAAATTCGAATATGCGAATTATACCTCATTTGAAAGAGCTCGTCAAGCTGAGTCGAATAAGACCAAAATCAACGAAATCCGACTTGATTGGACCGAGATATAGACCCCTAAAAACCGAAGATCCAAAGGGGCGATTATTGGAATTAAAAATTTTTTAACCATATTATAGCTCTTTCGAAAGAGCTCGACGAGCTGAGTCGAATGACACCAAGATCACAGTGATTGAACAAATTTAGACAAAGTTACAACACAAAATACAAGCAACATAAACCTATGGGGCGTCGGCGAGGCGCTTGTGCAAAACCCCGCGCTTCGCGCGGGGTTTTGCGGCACGCGCCTCGCGGGGAGTCTACGGGCGCTGGGTCTGGGCTCGTAACATAAACTTATGCCTATTTTAGCTGCGGTCGGCATGTCTGGCTTCCTCCCCAGTAAGAAAAACCGGCTCTTGTCCAGTTTATGCGTCCCATGAAAGTATATGCGTCCCATCAACAAAAAATTGGATATTTCTTGGTGTTGCAAAGTAGGGGTATGGTTCCAAAGCATTTCTTCATGTTCGGGATCTACGTCCACTGGGCCTGAGACCGTTCCTTACCCTATCCTTTGAAATTTCTGAAAGTTATAGCCAATTTTTAAAAATTTCAGAAAAACGATTTTAACTTTCAGAAATTTCGAGGTATAGGGCAAGGAAAAGTCTCAGGCCCAGTGGGCGTAGATCCCGAACATGAAGAAATGCTTTGGAACCATACCCCTACTTTGCAACACCAAAAAATATTCAATTTTTTGTTGATGGGACGCATATACTTTCATGGGACGCATAAACTGGACAAGAGCCGAAAAACCTGCACGTAGACCAAAGGTAAGGAGCTAAAACAAATGCTCATAACTTTGTCAAATCAAGTTAGATTTCGTTGATTTTGGTATCATTCGACTCCGCTCGACGAGCTCTTTCAAATGAGGTATAATTTGTATATTCGAATTTTTGACCCCAAAATCGACCTTACTCCCCCCTTTGGTTTTTCAATTTTCAGAGACCTGTAACTCGGCATATAGTTGAGTCCGCGGACTAATTTTGGTGTCATTCGACTCAGCTTGATGAGCTCTTTCGATTGACATATAAATCATAAAAATCTAAAATCCCCCGGTAAAGTGTACTTTAGCCGTTACATCAATTTCCCTGTGGCTATTATTTGCATTTTTGAATTTTTCATCCCAAAATTAACACTTTTGTATACTGGAGTTTGTAAAACTCGGTCCGTGTACGTCCAACCGCCTTCTTCACCTCCCTCAAGCCAGCTCGACGAGCTCTTTCGAATGATGTATAATTGTGAAATCTGGTGGGCCAACAAAACCCCTATAAGTCACAATACCCACGGGAAGCAACAGGACGGAGATTTAAACATCGATAACGTAAAAAGGGGCAACACTTGAATTAATAAACGATTGTCAAAACCAAATAATCAAATTAATTTTCAAACCTAATTTCCTGAATTCTAACAAAAAATTTCAGCTCTTCAGTCAGTTTTTCTGATGATTCTTGTTCTTCTAAACCATAGTCATCAAATAGACCTCTTTAAAAATTTGTACAGCTTCTGGATACTCTCACAAAGCTGAAAATTAAGTAATTGAAAAACTCTTAAAGATAAAAACAACCTATCAAAAGACCAACCATTCAAAACAAGCAAATCAAAGCATCTAACCAATGGACATTTGCTGTACGTCTTCTGGTAATCCTGCAGAATCTGGGAGACACCTTAAAAACACCTTAAAAATTATTATTTTTTTCCGAAAATAATTTTATATAGGTAATCGACCATGCTGGTTACGAATCTGAGCTTAGAATTTGTTTATTTCGAACCCCGGACTCGATTTCGACCAGGTCGAAATTCGGGGTAAAAATTCGAAATTATAAATTTAGGGCTACTCTGATGCGCATTTTCGAGCTGAGTCGAATGCCACCGAAATTACTGCAATCCGACTCCATAGGGCCGAGTTACAGACCCCCGAAATTTGAAATTTTTGGGGTCAAAAAATCGAAAATCCAAATAATAGCTCATTCGAGAGAACTCGACGATCTGAGTTGAATGACACCAGAATCAACTCGATTGAATGATTCTGAACAAAGTTATGACCAACGGAATCTTCGGTGGAAATCAAGTATATGATAAAAAATCATAGATAAACTGTCACATTTGACAAAATCTGATATCAGATTCGTAACCGTCATGGTCGATTACCTATATAAAATTATTTTCAGAAAAAAATAATAATTTTTAAGGTGTTTTAAAAGTGTCTCCCAGATTCTGCAGGATTACCCGTCTTCTCATTTGACAAGAACTTGGGCACCATTTAATTGGCTTTAACATTGGGAACGGATAAACTCATTTAAGGGGGAAACCTTGCGTACAAAACTTGCGAATTTAATAAAGTAAAAAGCTAACCATGTAGACGAGAGCATTGGAGTTTAATCGATGCACATTTGGAGTGAAGATCGCCCAGCGATCTCCGAAGAGATCAGTGGTGCTTTTTTGCCCAGCGATCTCCGAAGAGATCAGTGGTGCTTTTTTGCCCAGCGATCTCCGAAGAGATCAGTGGTGCTTTTTCGCCCAGCGATCTCCGAAGAGATCACTGGTGCTTTTTTGCCCAGCGATCTCCGAAGAGATCAGTGGTGCTTTTTTGCCCAGCGATCTCCGAAGAGATCAGTGGTGCTTTTTTGCCCAGCGATCTCCGAAGAGATC